TCAGTTAAATTATCAGTCTGAGCATAGTCAATAGTAATTGTTTATATTATTTTTCACTTTGATCAGGCATCAGCACTACCTTTCAGTTTCAGTTTCAGCAAATTCAGGTGGGGACTCAGACTAAGTACTACATGGTTTATAATTACGTTACCATGGTCGAGGTATGTATATTCAGATACTGCTCGGGATGGTCGCCGGTCCATTCTGGGTTCTAGTGGTCTAATCTAACCACTAGAGTGTGCACATGGTCCGGTGTTAGTTATGCCGGGAGATTTCAATTATCAGTTACGCGACTTATGTTGCGAGATTCAGTTATCAGTTACGTGACTTATGTCGCGAGATCAGACCGGTTATCAGTTATCAGATATCAGTTTCAGTTCAGTTGTATATACTTAGTTCATGATCATGTTATTATTTACGATGTTGTACATTAGCATGAGTTTCTGCGGAGCACAGTGCCTTAGTGCTCACGCCCCACACCTTTCATGTTTTTCAGGTCGCAGGGTCGGAGACGAGGAGTGAGCGGGCGAGCTGTTCAGGACATTTATGATTATTGTATTTTATGTTGAACCACGCTTTGTTTCCGCTAAAACTTTTCAGTACTTTTTATCAGACTTTGCTCCGACATTAGTCGGAAAAGACATTATGACCGTTTTTACGTATCAGTTTAAATTTTAACGGTTTTCAGAACAGTCGAGTTTTTCACGGTAGCCCCCGAATCAGTTTCGCAAAATAAGAAGTTTATTTATTTATTTCAGAAAAATTTGCGAAAATTGCGTACTCTGATATAGTAGTAAGTCGGGGTGTTACAGCGAAGGGCGCGCATCGGCCCATGATGTGCGCGAATTGACAGACGAGCGGGAGGTGCTGGGAGCAGCTGGGCGGATGGTAGGTGAAGGCCTAGGCCTTGTGGGCCTAGGAATAATGGGCACGCCACAGCACGCGCGCGAGGAGGATGGCTGGAACGGAGCGCGCGAAATGGCGCGCGAGTGTAGCAGGATGCGAGCGAAGGCCTAAGCCTTGTGGGCTTAGGAATGCCGGGGGCTGGCGCGCACGCGCACGAGATGGACGGCGAGCGCTAGGCGCGAGCGATGGCTCTCGCGTACCGGGCAGACGCACGAAGCCCAGTCCGCGAAAGACTAGGCAAATCAGAGGCAGTTGGAGTGTGGGGCGCGAAGCCGCGCGCGACTAGGAATAGGCCACCGAACGCGCGCGACGCATGGAAGGTGGCCGAAGGTTTGGGCGGCGACTTGAGCTTCAAGACATTGGATTGGATTACAAGTCAAGTTTTAGAGTTCTAGTATTATTAAGAGCTTATTAGAGGTTAGGAGATATTTACTTTCCTTATTGCTTTAGAAGATCTAATATGTTTAGGATTTAGTATTTTATTGCTTTAATTAGTGATCTAGTAAGATTAGGACTAGACTAGTTTTGGATCTATTAATAGGGGTCTTCCCCCATTGTTTTTGATGTCCAGAAATATGATGAGTTGAATAGAAAAGAACGTTTTTTCATCCGTGTGTTAGGATTCGTGAGAGTTTGATCATACAAATTGAATTAGCAAGGCTAAGACCCAAGCTAGTTCAAATCGAGGGAGCGAGGCTACTTACCAAGTGAACTCAAGTATCGTGAGAGAGTTAGGCTAATAACCGAGTCGATCACACCTATCGTTGATGGCAAGTCGTGGCGAGGCTTTGTTCGAGGCAAGCGAGTGGAACAAACACACGATCCTTCATCATTGGTGCTTTCATTGAGAGTGATTGATTGTATGTTTTGTTAAACTTTTCCTACTTCGTTCTTTTTATTTTTGTCCGATTTTTTCCCCCTAGGTTTGATTTTTTTTGAATTTTCCTTCTTATTTTTCGAATTTTTTTAGAGTTATCTAAGAAACAAAAAACAAAATTATGAAGAGAGTCATGATGTTTGAGCCATTGGACGAGATGGATTTGGAGGATCTCGAATTTTTGGAAGGTTTGGAGAGGAGTTTAACTCCTAAGGAGAAAAGTTATTTTGGAAGAGCTACACGAGCGAAAAGTTTTACAAGAAAAGTACGCCAAAGAAGCTGAAGAGGTCGATGTCAAGAATGATGATGATGTGGGTGCACTGAATTTCATTATCCTTGAGGACAAGGAAGGTCTTGATGAGGAGGGGAATGATACAGAAGTAGTCATCGACCCTGGAGAGTCGGAGGACGATACCGGCGATGACCTCGACATATGGTTGGAGAACATGCTGGAGGAGCCACAAAGCCCGATTTATCGCCCTTTATGTTTGAGAGATTGGCCGAAGGGATGTGGTCCGAGGTCAATGTCAAAATCTAAGAAAGACAAGGCCAAGAAAGCTTGAAGGCGACACCAGGCAAGGGCTAAAAGACAAGTCACTGGTGTGGGCCTTGTGTGAGAAAGAAACGAGCATGGCGCTCGGAGGTTCGAAGATGTGGCATGGAGCAGATGGAAGA